CCTTCCTGAGTAGCTAGAATGACAGGCATGAACCACTAGCCCGTGAACCTCTGTGTGTGTGTGTGTGTGTGTGTGTGTGTGTGTGTGTGTGTGTGTGTGTATGCTGGTTATTTTGCCGTAGGGTCTTGCCTTCTGCCCAGACCTGTGCCTAGGTCTCAGTCCACACATTTTATGCTTTCCATTATAGCTGGAGAGCAGTGAGTACCGCCTCAGCTTGTTTCATTGAAATGGAGTCTCTCTGACTTTTCTACTCAAGCTTTTCCATAACCGGATCCTCCCACACTCAGCCTCTCACACAGCTGGGATGACAGGTGTGCACCACTGCACCTGGCTAATGGTTGAGAATGGGGGAAGAGGGTGTCCTCGGGTATATACTGGAGGCTGGTCTCAAACCTCCGTCCTCCTGTTCTTAGCCTCCCAGATTATCAGGCACCATCTCACCCTTGTGCAAAGTCAGGCCATGAGCACCTGTTGTATAGACGTTGAAACTAAGGTACAAAGAAGAGCAGTGACTCGCTCAAGAAGCAGTTGCTTAGGGTCTGGAGCAGGTGGCAGTTCGTGGGTAGGGAGGTTCCAGCCGAGGCCGCCGAGGACATCAGGCGAAACTAACCATGCCCATCTTGCCACCCCACCCCCACTCCCCTCTCAGAAAGCTGGACGCCTTCATCTATGACGCCGCGGTGCTCAACTACATGGCCCGGAAAGATGAAGGCTGCAAGCTGGTCACCATCGGCTCGGGCAAGGTGTTCGCCACCACGGGCTACGGCATCGCCCTGCACAAGGGCTCCCGCTGGAAGCGGCCCATCGACCTGGCTCTGCTGCAGTTCCTGGGGGACGGTGCGCCTGCGCGGTGGACACGGGTCCTGGACGGCACCGCGGGGAGGGGGAGAGGGCGGAGACCCGGACGCTTGGGCCTACGAGGGCCTTAGGAGGAGTTGGGATGGGGGGGGGGTGTCCTGGACCCGCCTCTATGGCACCTCAAACAGCTGATCTCCGACCCCCCTTCTCCCAGATGAGATCGAGATGCTGGAGCGGCTGTGGCTGTCGGGGATCTGCCACAACGATAAGATCGAGGTGATGAGCAGCAAGCTGGATATCGACAACATGGCGGGCGTGTTCTATATGCTGCTGGTGGCCATGGGGCTGTCCCTGCTGGTGTTCGCTTGGGAGCACCTGGTCTACTGGAGGCTGAGGCACTGCCTGGGGCCCACGCACCGCATGGACTTCCTGCTGGCCTTCTCCAGGGTACGGAGCGGGGCGGGGGGGGGGGGACACAGGGGCGCACAGGCAGGGTAGGGGGCCGAGGAGATCCGGGGAGGGGCGTACAGGGGCGCACAGGTAGAGGCGGGGAGAGACGGGATGAGAGGGCACCCGAGCAGGGGACGGTGAAGATGGAAGTCCCAACCCTTGGGGGGGGGGCGGGTCAGAGACTTGGGACGCAGGAGCCCTCCCAGCCCCACACCCAGCTCCCAGGGACAGGCGGGCGCACCCCGCGATCGCCGCTTCTCCGCCCGCCCGCAGGGGATGTACAGCTGCTGCAGCGCCGAGGCCGCCCCGCCGCCCGCGAAGCCCCCGCCGCCGCCGCAGCCGCTGCCCAGCCCCGCGTATCCCCCGGCCCGGCCGCCGCCCGGCCCCGCGCCCTTCGTGCCCCGCGAGCGCGCCGCGGTGGACCGGTGGCGCCGGGCCAAGGGCGCGGGGCCGGGCGGCGGCGCGGGCCTGGCCGACGGCTTCCACCGCTACTACGGCCCCATCGAGCCGCAGGGCCTGGGCCTGGGCCTGGGCGAGGCCCGCGGGGCGCCCCGGGGGGCGGCCGGCCGCCCCACGTCGCCCCCGGCCGCCGCCGCCGCGCAGCCCCCGCAGAAGCCGCCGCCCTCCTACTTCGCCATCGTGCGCGACAAGGAGCCGGCCGAACCCCCGCCGGGCGCCTTCCCGGGCTTCCCGTCCCCGCCCGCGGCCCCCGCCGCCCCCGCCGGGCCGCCGCTCTGCCGCCTGGCCTTCGAGGACGAGAGCCCCCCGGCGCCCGCGCGCTGGCCGCGCTCCGACCCCGAGAGCCAGCCGCTGCTCGGGCCGGGCAAGGCGGCGGGGGGCGCGGGCGCCGCGGGCGGGGCCGCCCCGGCCGCGCCGCCCCCGTGCCGCGCCGCGCCGCCGCCGTGCCCGTACCTGGACCTCGAGCCGTCGCCGTCGGACTCGGAGGACTCGGAGAGCCTGGGCGGCGCCTCCCTGGGCGGCCTGGAGCCCTGGTGGTTCGCCGACTTCCCCTACCCGTACGCCGAGCGCCTCGGGCCGCCGCCCGGCCGCTACTGGTCGGTGGACAAGCTCGGGGGCTGGCGGGCCGGCAGCTGGGACTACCTGCCCCCGCGCGCCGGGCCCGCCGCCTGGCACTGCCGCCACTGCGCCAGCCTGGAGCTGCTGCCGCCGCCGCGCCACCTCAGCTGCTCGCACGACGGCCTGGACGGCGGCTGGTGGGCGCCGCCGCCCCCGCCCTGGGCGGCCGGGCCCCCGCCCCGGCGCCGAGCCCGCTGCGGTTGCCCGCGTCCGCACCCGCACCGCCCGCGGGCCTCGCACCGGGCGCCCGCCGCCGCCGCCGCCGCGCCCCACCATCACCGGCACCGCCGCGCGGCCGGGGCCTGGGACCTCCCGCCGCCCGCGCCCACCTCGCGCTCGCTCGAGGACCTCAGCTCGTGTCCCCGGGCCGCCCCGGCGCGCAGGCTCACCGGGCCCTCCCGCCACGCGCGCCGGTGCCCGCACGCCGCCGCCGCTGCCGCTGCCGCCGCCGCCGCGCACTGGGGGCCGCCGCTGGCCGCCCCGCCGCCCCACCGGAGACACCGGGGAGGGGACCTGGGCACCCGCAGGGGCTCCGCGCACTTCTCCAGCCTCGAGTCCGAGGTATGACGCGGCCCCCCCTCACCCGGGAGGGACCCCCACCGCCCCCCTCGGTCAGCGCGGGCCACGGCCCGAGGGGCGCGGCACGCGGCCACGGACAGGACCCACGTGGGGTGGGTAGGAAAAACACGGACCTGGCCGGACCCCCACCTGGAGCCGTCTCCTCCTGCGACCCCCCCTCGCATCGGGGCCACCACGAGCCAGAGGGTATTTGGTGGCCCAAATCTCACCCAGCCCAAGAGCCGGGGTGGGGGGTGGGGGTGGAAGGGTCCAGGAGCCCACGCGACTTTTTATAAAACCCGATAAGGGCTTTTTAACGTCACCAGATGGGCGGGAGGTGTGGGGGATCACGCCACGCCCGCGCCACCTCCCCACTTCCCGGGGCCGTGGCCCCCGCATCACTGTGCAGCTCCCCCGGCCCCGGCCAGGCCTCCGGGGAAGCCCGTTTTTAAACCTTTCATCCATCGGGACTCAAAACTGTGAGACACATTCGCCAAACTGTGACCCCCCAGACCTCGGCCCCGCCACACACACAAACCCCCTGACCTGACCCCAGACTGTGACTTCCGACACCTGAAATGGTCATCCGACCCCAGACTGTGCCCCGACCAGACTGTGACCCTTAATGTCAACCGTGACCTCCTCTCCCCTTTTCCTCCGTCGTTGGCTCTTCCTTCCTGTGACCTAAGGACCTGTCCCCTACGGAAGCCCTGCCTCCCCGACCCCCTTTTCTTCAGCCCACTCCCCTGCCCACCTCCCTAACAAGGGTCATCAACCAAATCCTCTCCAAAGCCACCCCTTATTTATGACCCTTCGATAATGACCCAGCAGACCCCCCCCCCAAAAAAAAATAAAAGCCTCCTCCTTCCAGATCTCCAGCCGGGTCTGGGGCTGGGATGGGGACGGGAGGGTCTGGGAACCCACACTTAACCCATTCCCCACTCCCACCATTGCAGTGTTTGGAATAAACCATGTTTTTAATGCCTCCTCATTCCAAGCCTGAACTCCGTGTCTGTCTTTTAGTTCCTCCCCCCCCCCCCCCGCAAAAAAAAAAAAATCTCTGGAGGAAGCAGACTCTGAGAAAAGTCCCACAGGACAAGCAGAGATAGAACAGACTCTGAAAGGGTGGGGGAGAAAGACTAAGGAAGAGAAGGTGAGAAGAGACCTAAGGAGAAGAGGGGTCAAGAAGGGAGCAGAGAGAAACCTGCCCCCCCCCCCCACCACACACACACAGAGTGGTGAAGAAAGACCCAGGATAGGAAATATTTAGGGATCAAACCCAGAGTCCCATTTCCTACGACTACAGGCAGCAAAGACTTGTCTTGCTAAATTCCTAACCTCCTGTTCATGCAAGGGAGGAGAGTGTGTGAGCACCCCAGCCAATCTCCACCTCTAGAATGCCGTTAATCTCACCAGAGGATCTAACATTTCATAGCACCAATTAGCCAACCCGCCGGTGCCGACGGTGATAAAAGAGAGCACCAAGCACTTGTAATAGCTCCCTCCAGAGGACGGACTTTCTGATTAAGTGCTCGCTGACCACGGCTGTACAGGGGACGCCTGGTTAGACAAGTGACTGTCCCTAGAGGGTAGATTCAACCGACTAACTTACACTTAATGTCCAGGCTGTCTACAATGAAAGCACTTTGGAATAAATTAAAGCCGTCATAACAGGGAGAAGAGAAGAAACCAGTTTTATGGGTCCCTCAGGGAGCAAAATCCCGTAGTCTCCCCGCCAGTAAGCGCTCAAGTCTGCATACATGAATAATTAAGTAGAAAGATAGCCCTGGGAATCAAGGGGGGGGGGGCGGAGGGAGACCGGCTGGGAACGCTAGAGCAGTAAAACTACGACTCCCAGGAAGTCCTGCCACTGTCGCGCGGAAGAACGCCTCAAGGTCACGGTGCTGACACCTTTTCTCCGCACCTACAGGCTTTTCTCTCGCGGGACCACCACCACAGTTTTAACCTTTAGCTCTTCAGTTCTCCATCTCTCCCCCACAGTTCTCCATCTCTCCCTCTAATTGGTGGGCCGGGCGGTTTCCGAGGTAACCGCGTACTGGTGGGCGGACCTTTGAAGAAAGGCGAGACCGGAAGTGACGCTTTTATCTAGCGCCGTCCGAGACAGGATTCCAAAATGGCGGCGCGCAAGGGCCGGCGGCGCACGTGTGAAACCGGGGAGCCCATGGAAGCCGAGTCCGGTGACACAGGTTCCGAGGGTCCAGCCCAGGTCTACCTGCCGGGCCGGGGGCCGCCGCTACGCGAAGGGGAGGAGCTGGTTATGGACGAGGAGGCCTATGTGCTGTACCACCGTGCGCAGACTGGTAGGGCTGAGGGTCCGGACTCCGGGGTCCTGAGGAAGGAAAGGGGACAGATCCTGGGAGTTGTTGTTGTTTTTTTTCTTTTACTTCATTTCTTCCTTTTTTGTGCCTATCCTGGGGCTAGAACCCGGAACCTGAGCGCTGTCCCTCAGCTCTTTTGCTCTACCACTTGAGCCACAGCTCCACTTCTGGCTTTTTGCTGGTTAATTGGAGATGAGTTTGGGTTGGCTTTGAACCGTGATCCGCAGATCCCAGCCTCCTGAGTAGCAAGGATTACTCGCTTGAGTCCCTGGTGCCCGGCCTGATCCTGGGATTTCTAACTTTAGAGCTGCTCAGGACCAAAGAAAACAGAGAGAAAGCTCACGTCTAAGGGCGGTGACATCACGCAGGAGACAGCTGGTCTCTGAGGGAGTCGGAGGGTGACTTCTGTCCTGACCTAAATCCATCCCTGCGTGTGCCTTTCCTCTCTAGGTGCCCCCTGCCTCAGCTTTGACATAGTCCGAGATCACCTAGGAGACAATCGGACAGAATTCCCCCTTACCCTTTACCTGTGTGCGGGGACCCAGGCAGAGAGTGCCCAGAGCAACAGGTGAGTGAGACCTCGGCTTTCCCAGACCCAATCCTGATTACCTACCCTCAGCCCCGGGGTGACCAGCCTCCCTCCTCCTTAAACACGTTGGCATCCAGTGCCTGAGATCCCATACTTCCCCAGGCTGATGTTGCTTCGGATGCACAATCTGCACGGGACCAAGGCCCCTCCCTCGGAGGGCAGTGATGAAGAGGAGGAGGAGGAGGAGGATGAAGAGGAGGAGGAAGAGCGAAAACCTCAGCTGGAGCTAGCCATGGTGCCTCACTACGGTGGCATTAACCGGGTTCGAGTAGGTATCCTCCCAAGGAGTCTCTGGCAGATATTTGGTATAGTTTTATATTTCCCATGTATTGTAGTAGTTGTCATTACACACTTGATATTTAGACTGTGGGGACTTTCTTTTTTCCACTGGGGTTTGAACTCATGTTCTTGGGCTTTTGACTGGTGTTCTACCATTTGAGCCATGCCTTCAGCCTACTTTTAAAAAAGTTTTTAGCAAGGGACAACCCTACTTTCTGGTCATTAATTGGAGATGAGAGTCTTGGATTTGTCTGCCCAGGCTGGCTTCCAACCTCCTGAATAGCTGTGATTACAGGTGTGAGCCACTGGTGCCTGGATGGCTTTTTTTTTTTTTTTTTAAATTCACTTTTCTCTTAGGTTAAATGGTATCAATTATAAAACTTCATCTAGGGCTGGGAAGGTGGCTCAGTGGTAGCGTGCTTGCCTGGCATGCATGAGGCCCTGAGTTCGATTCCTCAGCACCACATAAAAAAAAAATCTGGAAGTGGAGCTGTGGCTCAAGTGGTAGAGCGCTAGCCTTGAACTGAAGAGCTGAGGGACAGCGCCCAGGCCCAGAGTTCAAGCCCCACGACCGACCAAAAAAAAAAAAATCCTGATAAAACTTCATCTGATGCTGCTGATCTGAAAATAAAATGAAACATGTAACAGCACCTGGTGGTAATCTGAGATGTGTGGGTTTTGTTGAATCTTTATTCAGGACCTGATTGGAGGCTTTTGCTTGTTTTAGGTTGGATTTGGCCTAATGAGACAAGGTTTTGCTATGTAGCTAAAGTTTCTGGGGTTAGAACTCATGCTTGCTCTCTCAGCTTGCTTACTGAGCTAATACTCTACTATTTGAGCTATGCTTCCAGCCATAGCTTTTTACTGCCTACTTTGGAGATTTTGTTTTGATATTTTTCAGTCAAGGTCTAATAACCCAGGCTACCTTTGTAGCCTTAGCTCCCCAGAGCTGGAATTAAACCACACTTAGCCTTTAGTTTGCTTTGAGACCAAGTCTCAAAGTAACTTTACCCAGGCTGGCATGGAATTCTCATTTCTCTTGCCTCTGCATCCTGAGTAGCTGGTATTACAGGTGGGTACCACTATACCCAAATGAAGTAGCTTGTAGCCAGCATAGGTGTTGGCTGTGAGGGAGAAGGAACAAGTCAAGAATGAGTCCCAAAGTTTTGGGCTCTAGGTGAAGAGGGAAGGAGTCTGCTCAGGTGTCAGGCTGGTGCGGGCAGGGGTGTCTCCTAATGAGCAAATGGAAGCAAAGTGATGGGAGGACTGAACGTTGAGCCCTCCAGCCTCTGCAAGGTTACCAGACCAGGAGCCTGAGTCCGCTGGACCTTACAGCCTTGATTCCCAGCCTCTTTGAGCTTCATCCTCTTGCTCCACTGCCTCAGTCTCCCACTGCAGGGATTTGACCCAATCTCTCAGTCCCTCTGGGAGCTGTGGGTCTGTCCCTGAGGATGGAAGGAATGGCTCTGCTCCTCAAGAGTTGTGGGGATGTGTTCAGCACCCTGAGCATCCTCTCCTTGTTCATGCACCCCTTTCCTCAGGTTTCGTGGCTGGGCGAGGAACCTGTAGTTGGAGTGTGGTCAGAGAAGGGCCAGGTGGAGGTGTTTGCGTTGAGGCGACTTCTGCAGGTGGTAGATGACCCTCAAGCCCTGGCAGTCTTTCTCCGGGATGAGCAGGCCCGGGTGAAGCCCATCTTCTCCTTTGCTGGCCACATGGGCGAGGGCTTTGCTCTTGACTGGTCCCCCCGGGTACAAGGTAAGTCCCTTTGGTTTGTACACAGTGCAGGGAAGTCATGGGAAGTGGCATCTGCAGCAGGCCAGACCTGAGAGAGGGCAGTGAGCTGTAGCCTGATGTCATTTCCTGGCCCAGGTCGCTTGCTGACCGGGGACTGTCAGAAGAATATCCACCTCTGGACACCTACAGACGGTGGCTCCTGGCACGTGGACCAGCGACCATTTGTGGGCCACACACGCTCTGTTGAAGACCTGCAGTGGTCACCAACTGAAGACACGGTGAGGGAAGGGTGGGAGCTGGATGCCGGGCTTTTGGGAGTAGGCTAGGGACCTGGAATCTGGGGCCTTGGAGAAAAGTGGGCTGAGCTGAGGGCATGGGAAAGATTTAGATTTCAGTTTAACATCTAGGCAGGGAGACATTATAAGAGAGAGGACCAAGAATAGTAGTACACACATGTAATCCTAGCTACTGGGGAGAAGGAAATCAAGGTCAGCCTATACAAAAATTTAGCAAGGCTTCATCTCAACAAATAAGCAAGGCATGATGGTGTGCATATACAATCCCAGCATATTCAGGGAAGAGGTAGTAGAAGAATTGAAGTCCAATGCCAGCCCTGGATAAAAATACTAGACTCTATCTGGAAAATAACTGAAGTAAAAACTAATTAGGGGTGTGGCTCAGGTGGTAGAGCACCTGCCTAGCAAGCATAAGTGCCTGAGTTCAAATTCCTGTACCACCAAAGAAGGGCAGAAAAGGGTAGAACCCATCAACCACTAGTTCTGATTTGGGGGTTCCACCTGCATCCTTAGACTTCACTCCGTTTTGCCTAGGTATTTGCTTCCTGCTCAGCTGATGCTTCCATTCGCATCTGGGATATCCGGGCAGCCCCTGGCAAAGCCTGTATGCTTACCACAGCCTCTGCCCATGATGGAGATGTCAACGTCATCAGCTGGAGCCGCAGGGAGCCTTTCCTGCTCAGTGGGGGTGATGACGGGGCCCTCAAAGTCTGGGACCTGCGGCAGTTCAAGGTAATCTCCTGTCTTGGACAACTGGCAGCTGGAGATTTGTTGGGGTTTTCTCTCTTAAATGGCCTAGTTGGTCATATTCACCAGAACTGGGAATGCATCTGGGATTGGAGTCCCAGTGCCTTCCTCATACAGATGAGGAAACTGAGGCTGAGAGAGAGAATGGGTGTGGCCAGTGTGGAGCCCTTCCTCCATCCACCCTGTGAACAACTGAGGAGCAATGATGCTAGGGGCTGGAGGCAGCTGAGACTATAATTTCCATATGCCCATGGGGCTGATGGGTAGCTGGCCTTAGGGCCTGTGGGCTCACGAGCTCTCAGGAGTTGTAGTTTGTGTGGGGTTTGTGGGGAGTTTTTGTTTTGTTTTGCCAGTCCTGGGCTTCTCAGGGCCTGGGCACTCACTGTCCCTGAGCTTCTTTGGCTCAAGGCTAGTACTCTACCACTTGAGCCACAGAACCACTTCTAGCCTTTTCTGTTTATGTGGTTCTGAGGAATCAAACCCAGGGCTTCTGCATGCTAGGCAAGCACTCCACCACTAAGTCACATTCCTAGCCCCTGTTTGTTTTTTGGTTTTAAATTTTATTTTGTTGTAAAGATGCTGTACAGAGGGATTACAGTTACATGAGTAAGGTAATGAGTACATTTCTTGTCAAACATTGTTACTCCCTCCTTTGGTTTTTTTTTTTTTTCCTACTATCTCTTCCCTCCCTTGTTTTCTTTTTTCTTTCCTTTTTTTTTTGGGGGGCGGGGGGGGCGTCCAGTCATGGGACCTGAACTCTGGGCCTGGGCACTGTCCCTCAGCTCTTCATCTCAAGACTAGCATTCTACCACTTGAGCCACAGCGCCACTTCCAGCTTTTTCCTTTTTGCTTATGTGGTGCTGAGGAATCGAACCCAGGGCTTCAGGCATGCAAGGCAAGCGCTCTACCACTGAGCCACCTTCCCAGCCCCTTCTTTTTTTTTTTTTTAAGACAAGGTCTTGATAGTTCAGGCTGGCCTGAATCTCACAATCCTGTCCTAGACTTGTGAGTGCCAGGTTTACAGGTGTGAACCACAGTGCCTGACCCTAGCTAAGCTAGAAGTTGACTAGAGCTGAGAGGTTCCTTAGGCAAGGGACTTGCAGCAGTGTCTCGGCATCTGCTGTCCCTTTGGACAAAGCCTGGGCTCCACCTGGCTCTGTTCCTTCACTGCATGGCTGTGTCATCAGCTCTGTATAGGATCTTCCCTGGGGAAGCTTCCAGACCTTCCTGCTGCTATCCATCCAGCAGCGTCTGGGGCTGTTAGACTTCAGTCCCCCGCTGCCTTGGCACTGTGGGTTTCTGGAGTGTCGGAGGCTGCTAGTCTGCCCCTTTAGAGCCTCAACTTTGCACACAGCCAGTAGAGCTGTCATTACCTCATCCTTTATAGCAAGAGAAACTGAGGCAGGGCTGCTTTGCAGGCGAGATCACCATTCCCCGCAGCCTCAAGGACCAGACACCTTCCCTACCACCTTTGCTCTGAGTTATTTCATGTTTGGGGGGTTCAAGGAGTGGCCTCCCAGGACTGACCCCCATCCTCTCCCATAGTCGGGCACCCCAGTGGCCACCTTCAAGCAGCACGTGGCCCCCATTACCTCTGTGGAGTGGCACCCCCAGGACAGTGGGGTCTTCGCTGCCTCGGGTGCAGACAACCAGATCACGCAGTGGGACCTGGCCGTGGAGCGGGATCCCGAGGCGGGGGACATGGAGGCCGACCCCGGGCTGGCAGCACTGCCGCAGCAGCTACTGTTCGTGCACCAGGGGGAGACAGACCTGAAGGAGCTGCACTGGCACCCGCAGTGCCCAGGGGTCCTGCTCAGCACTGCCCTATCCGGCTTTACCATCTTCCGTACCATCAGCGTCTGAGGCTGCCACCTAGAGTGCACTGGCTTCCCTAGCCAAGCTGTAGGGCGTGCGGCCCCAGCAGCCAGCTCCCCGGGAAGGGCTTGTGCTGCCCACCTCAGTGAGGGGCTCTGGTGGGTTTGTGTTTCCTGAAGGACAAAGACCCCACCTGTCACCAGACTTGGATGGCCAGGTGTGGCCTGAGGCACACTTCTGACTTTGCCCTCTGTCCAGGACCCAGTGTCGATGGCCAGTCTCCCCAGAGACTTAAGGGGTTTTGCCACAGCTGCCCCAAGATTGGGGTGTAGGTTCTTCGTCTGGCCTGTTGGGTATGGGCCCAGGGCCCCTAGGAGTCAATAAAAACCCAGCGTGAGGCCCCATGGGCAGATGACAAGCCTAGCCTTCTGGCCTGGTCCCTGCGAGGAGAGCCAAACCAGGACTTGGGGGAACTTGGCACCCAGCTGTCCCTGGGCTGCCAGACCTGGCAGCCACGGGACGTCCTGTTCCACTCATCCCAGCCTCAGCCCGGTGGGTGCCCCACTCTGCCGTCTGCATCACTGTGTGGAGGTGGGGCTGGCTCCTGTAAGGGCTCCCATTATCACCGGGGCCCCACCTCACTAATGTTTATCTGGGGGCCCCAGGCCCCCTTTCTATATCCTCTGGGTCATCTCCCTATTCCTTGTGGCCTCTAAACCATGGCATCTCCATGGCTCCCTGCCGCCCAGCCTCCGCACCAACTCCAGCCTGCCTGGGCTGCTGCCCAGCGTCCTGCCTGGCCCGCCTCCTGCCTCCGCCCCCCTCTGCGGCTCAGCCCGCCCCGCCCCGCCCCCTGCCCAGCTGATCCTCTGTGGCTCAGGGCAGGCACCCAGCGCAGCCCCTCCTGACACCTGCAGAGGCGTCCGGCCCTCAGGCCACTCAAAGGAGCCCCCAGCACAGGGCATGGGGGTGGGCTGCCCCGCCAGGTACGTGCCTCCCTCCACGCACATCCTCCCCTCCGTACGCAGCCTGCCCCAGGGCCACCCACCTCCCTCTGTACCCACATCCTCAGTAGTGGCTCCAGCCCAGCTCCCAGTCTCCAGCTGTGACCCCAGTTTTGTCACCCCTACTCCATGGCCCTGGGCTCTGCTGGGCTCTTCCCTGTCCATCTCCTCCAATGGCTCCTAGTTCCCACTCTGTCCCTGGTCCTCCCGGGAGCCCTTGCTGGTCCTCTGCTCCCCTAGGAGTTTCTGTCTGTTTCTGAGTTTGTCCTTTCCCCTCCTGTCCTCCTCCCTGACCCACTCCCCTTCCCCATCCAGCCAGGTCAGTCCCCTCTGAGCCCCTTCCCAATCTGGCACCCATTGAGTCCTGTGTTTGCCCTCCTGCCTGCTATGCAGACCCCCGCTGAGCCAGGGGGAGGGAGGGGGATCTGGGGCTCAAAAGGCAGTGTTGGTTTCAGGAGAGGGGAGGGCGGGATTCCTCCGCCCCAGATTAGACCGTGACTTTGACACGAAGTTGAAGCACCTTAAGCTCCAGCTCCTTTATATGGAAACATTAAGCTCCTCTCGCAGGTCAGGTGGAGGAGGGGTCAGGACTGAGCTCCTCTCCCTCCCCTCCTGCCTTGCAGAGGGGGCAGGGTGGGAGAAGGTCATGTTGGGTGCCCCTACACAGACCCCAATTGCCCCCCGCACGGTGGGCCAACTGTGGGCTCAGCCTGTTCCCCAGGTGTGACATGGGGTGATGCCCTTGGGCCCTCCGGCATCCTGAGCAGTTGAGGTGAGTGAACCGTGGGGTGTGCATCAGCGGGCGGTCGCGACGGGACCCGAGACGACCTGATCGCAGCTTGTGGTATCTGAATACCCATGACTGTGTGCCTGGGTCCCCCAGGTCCTGCTGAGGTGCTAATGCAGAGTGGGGCAGGGGGGGGGGGGGTCGGCCAATGCAGGTTGCAAATCTGCCTGGGGTTGATGGTGAGGTCCAGGTACCTGGGCCTTGCTGTGAAGCGTGCCTGCCGTCCTTGATGTACACACACACCCATGGTTGGATGGTCATGGGGCTGGGAGAGAGGGTGCAGAGCTTCAACAGGGAACCTTGTTGACTCACCCACTCATCCCAACTCAACCACTTAGATGGGGCCCCAGGCCCTGCCGAGGACCCTGTGGGGTCTGCACCACCAGGCGGTTACATGGAGCTATTTAGTCTCAGCCAGATCCCACTCTGCCTCTCCCCTCCTTTCTAGGAGGAGGCTGATATTCCTTCCCCAAACTGTAAATGAGAGGAAAGGTGGGATGTTGTGGTGGCACATACCTGTGATCCCAACACTTGGGAGGCTGAGACAAGATAGTGAGTTCAAAGCCGGGCTGGGCTACATAGCCAGTCCGTCTTTTAAAGGAAAAATTGTAGGTGGCTACTGGTGGCTCACATCTGTAGTCCTAGCTACCCAGGAGGCTGAGATGTGAGGATCATGGTTCAAAGCCAGCCTAGACAAGACTATAAGACCCTTACAATTCGCAAAACTGGAAGGAGAGGTGTGGCTTAAGCTATGAGTGAAAAAGCTAAGGAACAACACCTAGGCCCTGAGTTGAAGTCTCAGGACTGACCAGCACTACAAAGAAGGGGAGTGGGGGTGAGGGGGAATGTGGCTTAGTGGTAGAGTTGCTTGCCTCGCATGTATGAAGCCGAGTTCAGTTCCTCAGTACCACATACATAGAAAAAGCTGCAAGTGATGCTATGGCTCAAGTGGTAGAGTGCTAGCCTTGAGCAAACGAAGCTCAGAGACAGTGCCCAGCCCTGAGGCTCAGGAAGGGTTTCCGCCTGCCACTATCCTGCAGCTGCTGAGTGGCCAGGCCAGGATATACCCCACAGCTGCCTGATTCAACAAGCCCAGTCCAGGTGCCATTCCAGGACTCACTTCAGACATTAGAGCCCATGGATACTCCAGTCCCTTGTATAAAAAGGCATCCTGTTGCACATACTGCTGGTAGTCCTAGCTGCTCAAGAGCTGAAGTCAGGATTGTGGTTCAAGACCAGCCTGAAAAAAAACGGGGATGAGAGGAGATTGATGAACAGGTGACATTAATCAAGATGCAGTGTATTCATAAATCTTGGTTGTATGCTAATGCCTCTGTACAACTACTTAAAGATAAAAGGGTTTTTGTTTTGTTTTTTTTTTAATAAGGCTGGCGCCAGTGGCTCATGCCTGCAATCCTAGCTACTCAGGAGCCTGAGATGTGAGGGTCACAGTTCAAAGCCAGCCCAGGCAGAAAGGTCTGTGAGACTCTTAGCTCCAATAAACTATTCAGAAAACTGGAAGTGGCGCTGTGGCTCAAGTGGTAGAGTGCTAGCCTTGAGCTGAGGGACAGCACCCAGGCCCAGAGTTCAAGCCCCACAACTGACAGAAAATAAAGGCTGGTCATGGTGGGAAACCCCTGTCATCTCAGCTATGTGGAAATAGTAGGGGGATCTCAGCCAGCTTGTGTAGAAGACCCTATTGGAAAACAAGGAAAAGAGGGTGTAGGGTGTCATTATAATTCCTTGCTGTCATGGGAAGGCCAAGTTCAAACTCAGCACTGACACACACCAAGTATGCTGTATCCATTTATCCTTTCTACCATGTTTGTCACGGTCTCTGTGTAACCCAGGCTGGCACTGAACTCATAATCTTCCTGCCTGTAGACCTCAAGTGCTTGAATTACAGGTGTATAACTGACACATCTGATTTGTGCTGAATAGAAATTTCATCACCCAGTGGATAGATATCTAGTGTCTAGTCTTTGCCCTTAGGAATGAATGTGTACATGCTTCCAATGGACATTTCTCATTCTTGGGTAGAGAGACAGGTGGAATTGGCATACAGGAAGTCTGTTTAAGGAGCACCATAAGAAATTGCCAGTGGTAGGCCAGGTGCTGGTGGTTCACACCTATAATCCTAGCTACTCAGGAGGCTGAGATCTGAAGATCACAGTTCAAAGCCAGCCCAGGCAGGAAACTCCATGAGACTCATCTCCAATTAACCACCAGTAAACTAGAAGTAGTGCTGTGGCTTAAGTGGTAGAGCACTCACCTTGATCTGAAAAGCTCAGGGACAGTACCTAGGCCCAGAGTTCAAACCCCACGACCTAGAGAGAGAAATTGCCAGGTTCCACAAGGGCTACACAATTCCCAGTCTCTGGGCATATTCATGACCACCTCTTCTACTGCAGTCCCTTGTCCCTGGGTGGTAGGTTAGAGCCCGTGTGTGGGCCAAAGGCTTTTGGTTTTACTTTGTTGGTACTTAGTGTTGAGTTCAGGACTACTACTGAGCTCCACTCTCAGCCTCTGTGGCTAAGATTTGCATTTCCCTGATGACTGTTGATGCTGGGATACTTCTCAAGTGCTCATCCATTGGCCATTTGCACCTTTTCCTTGGAGAAATGACATTCCTTTGCCTGCTTTGTTTTTCCAGGACTGAGGATTGGGCCTAGGTCTTGCACAAGTACCCTACCACTGAACTCTTTCCAGTTACACCTATACACACATGAGTACATACAAATACACATACATACACAATTTTTTCTCTGTGGTTACATAGTTACATACTTTTTGGCAATATGTGAATTTGAACTCTGCCTCAGGCTTGGTAGGCAAGTACTGTACCACTTGAGTCATAAACCTGGCTCTGGACTTTATGAATTTGTGAATTCTTTTTGTCAGTTGTAGGGCTTGAACTCAGTGCCTGGGCCCAGATCCTGGCCCTTAGCTGTTTTTTGTTCAAGGTTGGTACTTTTCCACTTTGAGCCACACCTGCACTTGTGTTTTTTTGGTGGTTGATTGGAGATAAGTCTCACAGACTTTCTTTTCCAAGCTGGTTTCAAATCTCAATCTTCAGATCTCAGTCTCCCAGGGCTGTTGGTTGATTTTTTTTTGTTTGTTTGTTTCTGATTGTTTGGTCCATCCTGGGGCTTGAACCTGAGGCCTGGGTGCTGTCTTGAGTTTTATTGCTCAAGGCTGGTGCTCCACACTTTTGAGCCACAGCGCCACTTCCGTTTTCTGGTAGTTCATGGGGATGAGAGCCTCACAGACTTTACTGTCAGGGCTGGCTTCGAACGGCAATCCTCGGATCTCAGCCTCCTGAGTAGCTAGGATGACAGGCAGGAGAGTCGCCCGCTTCTAGGAGAAGCTGGGATTACAGGCGGGTGGTGCACCACCATACCTGCGTTAACCTTTGGAGGCCCCAACCGGACAGTGCAACCTGCCGGTCCTTCCCCCCCCTCCTCCCCCGCCGCCGCCCGTAACCGGTGTCTTCTCCCTGCAGGTCTGGGGCGCCTGCCCCCTGCTAGGCCACGCAGGAAGAGGAGGAAGAGGAGCAGGAGGACGGGGTTCCCCCCCGCCCCATGGGCCTGGCTGGGGCCCTGCGCCGCCTGAGCGGCGCGGCGGAGCCGGGGTCAGGGTCGGGGCCGGGCCGGGCTGACCCGGAGGCGGGGCCGGGGCCGTGCGGGAACGGCTGGGCCCCGGCGGGCGCGGGCGCAGGCTCGCGGCGGCGCGGGCGCTTCGTGAAGAAGGACGGGCACTGCAACGTGCGCTTCGTGCACCTGGGCGGCCAGGGCGCGCGCTACCTGAGCGACCTGTTCACCACGTGCGTGGACGTGCGCTGGCGCTGGATGTGCCTGCTCTTCTCCTGCTCCTTCCTGGCGTCCTGGCTGCTCTTCGGCCTGGCCTTCTGGCTCATCGCCTCGCTGCACGGCGACCTGGCCGCGCCGCCGCCGCCCGCGCCCTGCTTCTCGCAGGTGGCCAGCTTCCTGGCCGCCTTCCTCTTCGCGCTGGAGACGCAGACGTCCATCGGCTACGGCGTGCGCAGCGTCACCGAGGAGTGCCCGGCCGCCGTGGCCGCCGTGGTGCTGCAGTGCATCGCCGGCTGCGTGCTCGACGCCTTCGTCGTCGGCGCCGTCATGGCCAAGATGGCCAAGCCCAAGAAGCGCAACGAGACGCTGGTCTTCAGCGAGAACGCCGTGGTGGCGCTGCGCGACCGCCGCCTCTGCCTCATGTGGCGGGTGGGCAACCTGCGGCGCAGCCACCTGGTGGAGGCCCACGTGCGGGCCCAGCTGCTGCAGGTGCGTGTGGGGAAGGGAGGCCCACCTGCGGGCCCGGCTGCTGCAGGTGCATGGGGCGGCCAGAGGGGCTCCATCTCCCCTGGGGATGGGGCCGGGGAGAGGCAGAGGGATCCATATGTGGGCCCAGCTGCTGCTGGTGGGAGGAGGGGGGAAAGAGATCTCACACACACACACCCATCTCCCACAGGGCCTTTGGCAACTTGGGGTGTTTGTTCCATGAGCCACTAACTCTTGGAGAGGTAGACTCAGGAGACAGGTCTGGTGGTTGTTTCTGATGCCAGTCCTGGAGCTTGAACTCAATTAGCTTTATTCCACCCACTCTACCACTTGAGCCACACCTCCACTTCTGGCTTTCTGGTGATTTAGTTGGGAGATAGGAGTCTCACCGACTAGGCACTGGGGCTCACACCTGTAATCCTAGCTGTTTAGGAGGCTGAGGATCATTGTTCAACCTGGGCAAGAAAGTCTGTGAGACTCTTATCTCCAATTAACTACCAGAAATGGAGATGAGAAGTGACTCCAAGTGGTAAAGCCCTACCCTTGATTGAAAAAACTGACAGCACCCAGGCCCTGAGTTCAAGCCCCACAACTGACCAAATTATTAAAAAAAAAAAAAACTGAGGACCACCCTCCCTGTGGACCTGAGCATCATCCATCACTACCCAGATAGTGAACTGAGATGTCACCTTTCTGTGTGGGACCAAGTGACCTTCCCAGGGCTCAGGTTCACAACTCCCAGCAGACACCGAGACACCAGCGCGGCTGTGGCTTAGAGCCCAAGGCCAGCTGCACTTAGGCCAGCAGAGCTGAGCGCACAGGGCCAGCATTATGATAGTACTGGGGTTTGAACTCAGGGCCTTGAGCTTGGTAGGCACATGCTCTGCCTCTTGAGCCAAGTGTTCAGCCCTTTTGTTTGTGAAACACAGTCTTCCTAGCTCTGCCCCAGCTGCCCTTGAGCTCACCATGTTCCTGCCTCCACCTCTGGAGTAGCTGGGATTACAGGCATGGATCACCACCATGCCTATCTTAGAAAACCCTAGATCTTTTGTTATTTTGCTTTTCATTTCTGGGATTGAATTCAGGGCCTCAGGCTCTTAGGGGAGTACTCTCACACCTGGGTCAATCCCCAGTCCTTGAAAAACATTCTTTCTCCAAGGTCTGTGGGGTGGACCTATCTTCCTACCCCTGTGGTCAAATTGTTCAAACGAGCAGAGTGCCAGTGGCTCACGCCTGTCATCCTAGCTACTCAGGAGGCTGAGATCTGAGGATCACGGTTTGAAGCCAGCCTAGGTGGGAAAGTCCATGAGACTCATCTCCAATGAACCACCAGAAAACCGGAAGTAGAACTGTGCCTCCAAGTGGTAGAGTGCTAGCCTTGAGCCCAGGCCCAGAGTTCAAACCCACAACCAACCAAAAAAAAAAAAAGTTCAAATATCCTGGTCTCCAATGTACTGGGGATGGGAGCAGGGGAGGAGGAGGACACAGATGCCTTTGTCCAAGTGGAGCCACTCAACCCTGGGCTGAGGCTGGATTTGAGACAAAAGGAGGAATCTGTGGCCATGGGAACTACAATTCCCAGAAGCTTTTGGGGTCCCCAGTCAGCTGCTAGAGAAAGGTGCCCAGCCCCAACCTGGGGCTCACCTAAAGGAAAGTGAGATGCTGGGTGTTGGACCTAGGTTGTCCTCTTTTTGTCATCCTAGTTTCTCTTTCTCCCACATATATTAATAACTTTTTTCCCTATCCCTCCTCGTCCTCCAATCTTCAATGTTGTCACTCTGGCCCTCTTGTACCCTCCTTTTTTCTATGAACCACCCCTATCTGTGTCCTTCCCTGTTTATCTTTGGGTTTCTATCCCCTGTCTGTGTCTTTGGACCACAATCTTCCCCTTCTCTCTGGGTCTCTGGGTCTGTGTCCCACCCCTTCTTCCCGGTTCTCCCTCTGCGTTCCCCCCCCCCCCCATTCCTCTGAATCTGTCTCTTCCTGTGTCTGCTTCTCTCTTTCTGGCTTTCTGTTCCCCTCTTTCTACTTCTCTTTTTCTGTCCTTCTGGGTATCTGTCTGGGTCTCTGTTTTCCTTTCTCTTTGACTCTGTCTCTGACATCTCTCTGTTCCTTTTGCTCTGAGTCTCTGTCCCTCTTAACCCTGGGGTCTTTGGCCCTCTCCCTGAATCAATATTTACCCATCCCTCGCTCTCTCCACCATCTTGGCTATCTTCTCTCTGGGCATGTCTGTCTCCATTCTCCCGGAAATGTGTGGCTGCCTTCTGTCTGTCTGTGGTCCTTGGCTTTCTCCTGCAGCCCCGAGTGACCCCAGAGGGGGAGTACATCCCTCTGGATCACCAGGACGTGGACGTGGGCTTTGACGGAGGCACGGATCGCATCTTCCTAGTGTCACCCATTACTATCGTGCATGAGATCGACTCGTCCAGTCCGCTGTATGAGCTGGGCCGGGCGGAGCTGGCCCGGGCAGACTTTGAGCTGGTGGTCATCCTAGAGGGCATGGTGGAGGCCACAGCGATGACCACACAGTGCCGCTCCTCTTACCTCCCTGGGGAGCTGTTGTGGGGCCATCGTTTCGAGCCTGTCCTCTTCCAGCGGGGCTCACAGTATGAAGTGGACTATCGCCATTTCCATCGCACTTACGAGGTCCCAGGGACGCCGGTGTGCAGTGCCAAGGAGCTGGATGAGCGCGCTGAGCAGGCTTCCCACAGCCCCAAGTCCAGCTTCCCTGGCTCCCTGGCCGCATTTTGTTACGAAAATGAACTTGCTCTCAGCTGCTGCCAGGAGGAAGAGGATGAGGAGGAGACCCAGGAAGAGCCGGGGCAGGAGGCAGAAGACAGAGCTGCCAGCCCCAGAGTTATCTCACCAACCCTGCCGCTGACCCTGCCTCCTTGACCCCAGCAGGTGTCCCCATCCCCGCTGGTGTCCCCTTCCCAGAAGGAGCAGGATGGAGAGCGATCGGCCCCTCTTCTGGGATGTGGGCAGGCATTTTCCTAAGACCAAAGGCCTCCTGGAGGGAATGGGGGGGGGGGGGCAGATTAAATGGTGAGGTCCTGCTGTGCCTAGTAGACCAAAGAGGACATTTTGGGGACCCCTCTATGAGCCCAATTCCTGAGTTGTTACCTGAGCTAAGAGATCCAGGATTCTAGACCACCCAAGAGGCAAGGCCTAGTGGTTCTGGATTCCTCTCTGTGGCTGGGCCTGGGTGTTGATCAGAGCCAGAAACCAGTGGTAGAGACCATTGCCCCATTGCCTCCTGGGAGGAAGTCAGCAGTTCTTGATCAGCAATGGCGATCCAGAATCTCTAGGTCAGGCTTGATTCAGTCAACAAAGAAGCAAGTCATTCTCCACATCGACTCAGCAGGGGAAGTGGCGCACAAGTGCAAGGATTCAAGGCCATCTCAATTTAACAGAGACAAGGATAAGGCAACCACATGTAGAGGAAAGACTTTGTGGTTCCAGAAAGTCCATGAGTTCAGATTCTGTGTGTCCAGGTTGATTACTAAGGCCTTGTGATTCTAGAACAGTTTGGCCTAGAGATCTGAACAAATGGAGAACCCATGCAGAGTTATGTTTCTAGAATACATGCAACAATGGGTTGTCTGTGGCTTTAGGAGGATTGAGAACTTCAAAAAAACATCCAGCTGGGGACATAAATGCTGCTTCTAAATGACCCACAGGATGGTTTTGGGTTTTTGTTTGAAGTGCCATTCTAGTACATCCAAAGGAACTGAGATTCTGAGAGCTGCTCCGCTGATGAGAATTAAGGAAGGATTCTAGTGTCTGCAGTCCACTGCATCCGGTCTGCCCAGGGGAGCGGATGGTCCACTCTACACCATCCTCCATGACTGCTTGTGGTTCTGAAATGCCAAAGGGAACTGAGGCTCCAGGGATCCAGAGTAGCCATATCTGCAAAGCCTGGAAGTTCTCTCCACCTCCAGGTTGACTACTTGGCTGTTCCAGGAGAGGAACTGAAGAAGTAGCATTTCGGGGCAGACCTAGCAAGTGAGGGTCCAGCTGAGACCCTGCATGTCACAGGACTGGTGAGTGGGTAAGGGGAGGGAGAGACCCAAGGCTGGTGTGTCTTGAATGTTCTGGAACACTGCATCTAGTTATGTGTCTCTATTTCTTAATGATGTTATACATATGTATAATATATATATATATATAATATAAATACAGGTATCTATTTTCCTCTCTGGTTTCTTCAGCAAGGTTGGAAACTTAGATTGGAGTCCTTTTCAGGGATGCAGAAAAACTAAATTCAAAGTTTACCAGATTTACACAACATTCTCTGCTTTCTGCCTCAGTGTTCTCTCCCCCCACCCCCCCACCCCCCGCTTTGGACAAATCATTCCCCTCTCTGCCTCAGTTTCCCCATCTGCAAAAATAGGGCATCAGGTCTTGGAGTTTTTCCAGCTGGGTGATTCCTCACCTTTGGTAAGCTGAGTGAATGAGTGGTGCAGGACCTAGGGGTTCCTGACCAGCCCCCCCCCCGACTTGGGTTTTACAACAGATGGGGGGAAGGATGGGAGCTGATCGTGAAGCCTGGCTCTGAACTTGAGTGACTGAGTCTCAGGGTCACCAAGGAATCATTTGAGCTGTGGCTCATCATCTCCCTGGTCCTGCTCAGGAGGCTGGGGAAGAAAGGTTGTGTGCAACAGACCCAGGGTTTTCCCACTGTGAGGAAAGTAGGCATGTTAGCCATTGACCAGTCCCTGGATGAAAGACATCTGTGTGTTTCTGGGGCACACGGGTCCTTGGGTCCAACCTGTCAGTGTTGTCATCAACCTAAGTGCCCAAGTGGCGGGGAGCCAGCCGCAGAGGGAGCCAGTGCCAGGAAGAGCAGGGCGTGTTCCCACCCTGTGTCCTGCACAGAGGGCAGGCATTGTCATTGGCCACCAGTCCGCCAAGTTCTGCATCAACCCAGTCCCCTCTCCTGGCTCCCCTTCTCTTTATCCCTCAGAATCCCCAGCTAAGAACCGGATGGGATTAATTAGCTGGCAGCCCTCCCAGCTCAGTGTCTTGGGCAGGAAAGGGGTCGGTGGATGGAGATCCAGGGGTGGGGTCATGCTGCTGGATGGGGGTCAAGAGACAAGGCGGGGGGGAGGTCCTGACTGGAGGGAGAGTGTGGCCCTGTCTGGGTCCCCACGGAGAAGGGCGGCGCAGGGCCATTCGGAAAGGTCGGCGAGGTTAGGAGGATCCTTGTCTAATCCCAAGGCTTAACCAGGTCCTGGCCCTGAATCCATCCCCACCTGCGCAGCCCCATGACGGCAAATGAGGACGAGGCCTGGCCCCCCGTTAGGGGTGCGTGGTTACAGGGCCCCTGCACCCACGTTCCGTGCAGGGCGGACGAGGAGGAGAGGGGTAGGGGCAGAGAGGTCCCAGTTTGGGAGAGCTGTGAAAGGATCTTAAGAAGGACGGTGGCGGGAGCGAGGGGGGTTCGCTACCCCTTCCTGTGGTTCTATAAGAGGCTGGGGAGGGGGGCTGAGAGGAGAGGAATGTGCCCGGCAAAGGGAGACCACAGGCTAGGCCAGCGCGGGTCCCGGTTGCTTGGTAACCGCGGTGATCAAAAGGCTGCTTGGACCTCTAGGAGGCGTGGCTCGGGGGTAACAACCCACAGTTGAGGCCCCGCCCCTAGCAGCAAGACTAACAAAGTTCCGCCCCCTAGCAACGTCTCCCCAGAGCCTCGGCTCGGCTGACCGGACTCTTTGCGCAGGCGCAGTCCTCTCAGCATCGCTGAGCCTTCTCCCTCGCTCCCCTCCCCAGCCAGCCACTCCTTTCTGAGGGTTCTCATTGGAGGGCACGCCTGCCAAGGGCTTTCTTTTGTTTCGGAGGCAGGACTTGGTGTCCTCCCCTTACTCCGATTGGTCCCACAGGCTGTCTCCTTCCAGCCCGGACATTGCTACATTTATTTCTTGTGTGCTTATTGGTCTGGGAAGCGACCCTTCAATGTCGGGGGCGGAGCAGACGAGGGAGCCCTCCGAGGATTGGCCAGTGTCGAGACGAGGGGGCGGTGCCTAGCGGCCGGGCGGTTGGGCAGTGCAAGCAGAGTCTTTTCAGCGCTGAGGACTGGCGCTGAGGAGGCGGCGGTGGCTCCCGGGGCGTTTGAGCGGGCTCACCCGAGCCCGCGGGCCAACGCGGATCCAGGCCCGGCCGGCGGGACAGCTCCGGACTCTCCGCGGGCCTTCCTAGCCGCCATGGAGGACGGTGTCTATGGTAGGTCTAGGCGGCGCTCGGAGCGTCTCTTCTGGAACGTCTCCCGTGGCGGTACGAGCCCCGGGGCCGCCTCGCGTCCCCCTCGTCCCGAGACCCCCGGGCCGTCGAGGGGCGCGGGCCGGGCTTCCGGCGGGCCTGCCGCGCGGGGCGTTCCAGGCCATTGTTTGGGCCGAGCCCGCTTCCGGCGGCGGCGGGAGGCGGGGCGGGGTCTGGGGCGGGGCCGTTCCCGCCCGCGGCGCCGGCGTGGGGGGGGGGGTGCCCCGTGGGGAGGGGTGCGGGGGGGGGGCGCAGAGATCTTGGGGTGCGGAGCACCGGCTTCCCGAAGGCAAAGCCCGGGCACGTTCGGGACCTCGTCCTCCCCCTTCCCAGTTCTCCTTAGGAGCTGACATTCGCTTCCTCCGTTGGGGTCCCGGCCACCCCACTCTCCCCTTAATGGAGCCGCTCGACCGAGGCCTCGGTCTCCGCCCGAGTAATTGACCCCCATGTTACACCTCCAGCCCTCTTCTTGTCCTACACCTAAGCGCTCGGGCTCCGTCCCGCCTGTCCCCCAGATTTAGGAATATGGACCCCAGATTCCCTCCTCCTCCAAGGGCCAAGGGACCCAGACCTCCTCCAGACCCACTTCCTAACCCTGCCCCATTTGCCCCAGATTGCAGGATCCTCGGTTCTTAAGCCCCCAGAATTTCTTTTTTAGGGGGGTGGGAGTCTGCCAGTACTAGAGTTTGAATCAATGGCCTAGGTCCTGTCCCTGAGTTTCTCTTCAAGGCTAGTTCTCAACCACTTTGAGCCACAGCTCCAGTTCCGGCTTTTTGGTGGTTCACTGGAGCTAAGAGTGTTAGGGACTTTCCTGCCCAGGTTGACCTCCAACAGCTATTCTCAGATCTCAGCCTCCTGAGCAGCTGGGATTACAAGCAGGAGCCACCAGTACCCAGGCAGAACTGATTTCTTAAACCCTGTCCCCGGCCCACCAGAACCCCCGGACCTGACTCCGGAAGAGCGGATGGAGTTGGAGAACATCCGGCGGCGGAAGCAGGAGCTGCTGGTGGAGATCCAGCGACTGCGGGAGGAGTTGAGTGAAGCCATGAGTGAAGTGGAGGGTCTGGAGGCCAATGAAGGCAGGTGAGATGTCTGGAGCCAGCAGCTTGGAGGTCAGGGGCTTGGCCAGGGCCAGGCATGGCCAGGCTTTGACCTTTGACCACTCTGCTCCTTGCAGTAAGACCTTACAGAGGAACCGGAAGATGGCCATGGGCCGGAAGAAATTCAACATGGACCCCAAGAAGGTGCGGTATCTCGGAAGGGGTCGTCATTGCCTCTAGCTTCCAGAAGGGTGATGGGTGCCGGTCCTTGGATTCAGACACTGGCTGTCCATTTGTTGTGGGAACACTGGCCAGGTGGACATGCATTTGCTGAGGCTTCTGGAGGGTTCTAGGCCCCCCCTTCCACATCCTGTGCTAAGCATAGCCAGGACCCACAGAGAACTGACCCTGCTTGCTCTGGGGGTAGGGATGCCATAGCTCTGAGTAAGATGTCCTTGTGGCCGAGCACCAGTGGCTCACGCCTGTAATCCTAGCTACTCAGGAGGCTGAGATCTGAGGATCACGGTTCAAAGCCAGCCTGGGCAGGAACATCCGTGAGACTCTTATCTCCAGTAACCACTAGAAAACCAGAAGTGACGCTGTGGCTCACGTGGTGGTGCTGTGGCTCAAGCGGTAGAGCGCTTGCCTTGAGCTGAAGAGCGCAGGGACAGCACCCAGGCCAAG